TGGGTGCAGTCACACCATGCCCATCTCGTGTGACACACACCCTTGTTACCAGGGTACGAGTAACCCTGGTACAAGACATCTCCAACTTGGTAAGGGACAGATGCCACGAGTCTTTGCACCGCACAATCAGGCTTACTGCATGTCGTCTATGTTCTTATACGCTTGACAGTCTGTTCTATAAACTTGAACACTTACAGTCGAGATGGCAGATGAATCATTACTTATCAGAGCCAGTCTAGGTCTCTAAACCTGAACACTTATAGTCAAGATGGGAAATGAAGCATTACTTATCCGAGCCTGTGTCAATGAACGACCATAAAAAAAGCTCAATAGGTGTAATTAAGGAACTGAATTGAGAGCCTCTGTATCAAATGGTTATATTTGATTTTGAATTCAAAGTCAGCTACAATGAATGAACTATCTATAACGCCGTATGGCGCGTTATGTAAAGCTAGGCAGCCCACGTGTCACACGGATCCTACCTTATTAGAGCGCCATTTCTCAATGTCGTGCCGGATAAATCGTGATTTCTAAAGACATACTCCATGACGGAGTTTGTACCCTTATAATATCTTTCTACGCACAAAGAAGAGCCGTACTAGGGTATTATTTACATAAAACTCAGAATAGAAACCACAAACAATGACTGCGTCGAGATTCCGCAACACAATTGCGCATCACTAGTACAAGCTCGAAAAGCACCATTCGCGTCGAAAAATTATCTTTTTGTGTGATAAAACATTTTATTCGACGGACTCACAAGATAGACACGAACTCGTTGCCGTGACCTTGCTCAGTTGAAAAGGAGGAGTGTTCACTGGTGAGAATGGTCACAAACCACACTGATTTGCGATAAACCAGACGCATTTGAAGCTAAAACTATGCGGCAACGCCGTTTCCGTCCAAGCGGACCATTTGTGACTTGGCCACCATATTAGCTGTAGACCACTACACTGGCTGCTCACACGATGCATGGTTTAAAAGGCCTCACCAAGAGACACACGTTGAGGTAAAATTTGTGGTTTACAAGCTGGACCTGTCCAAGCCATCTTCATATGATGCTTCAGACCAAATCACGTCATAATCTTGGACTTGATTGGCCGTCTGCCGCGCCACAACCAAAAATTTTGCTCCTTCAGCTTGATGTAACAACAAAATGCGTTCAAATGTGCGATGCGATCATCCAATTCACTACTTATAAGTTAATCCTTCTGACTTCGACCACTTTTGAGTTTATCCTTCTGTCATTTCATATTGAACGCTGAAAAAATGCCGACAAATACCACACCCAAGCTGCACCCGCCTCGAATGAAGCAGACTCATCGCCTTATCCATATTAAGGCTTTTTGAATTAGCTTCAGTGAAGCATATGACGAAATGTGTTTTCGCTTGATGCTTTCATTTGAAAGAACGAAGCACGTCATTGAGGTGGATGCTCGTGACATTACTTTTTGCTATCACCAGCATCTGTCATTTTTGTGAACCCACAAAATACAATACAATTAACTTCACTGAATTGATGTAAATGCTTTGCGCTGCGTGACCATGTTGCGCCTCCTGATGTGGTAAAGAATGTGAGTGAGCCACGACAGAAGCGGCAGCAGCACTGGGGCAATGGAACCTCGAGCGCCAACAACCTCCGAACTGGGGGCGCCGCTTTCACTATACGGGAAACTGATTACAGCTAGTGTGAAAGCGCTTGCTTAGTATCGTCTTCACATAGTGTGTGTTTTATCATTGAGAAGAACTGGTGGAAAACAATAATTTCAATTTGATCTATCAGCGGGTTTTATGGCTGCACAAAGATCGCAATTGTGATTTGACAGCCCCTCCACTAAAAAGGTTTTTGTTGTTGTTGCTGAGTCCCATTCTACGAGGTACATATTAGCTCAGTGATTTGATAGATTTGATATGCGCTAACTGGGATCTGACATCTTCGCACCGGTCGGTCAGTCTTCCCCTACCTTTCTGCTAGTTCAACTGTGACAGAGGGTGATATGCAGAGCATTACTCCATCAGGTACTGCTCCCGCGGAGACCACGGCGTCGCCCAGCAGCAAATGGATAACTCATTTAATACCCAGGCTGGCTCAAGTATATAGAATCTGGTTCGAACGTATATTCTCCACTCAACAGCATACGTGGTTCTGAAGCTGTGCATTGAATCAAAGGCGACACTCACCACTTTCTCATCAGAAATCGTGTACGCAGCAATTTAGGTGCAGGACGCACCTGTACGATGGGTCTACAAAGAAAGCCAAGTGTTGCCATTTTCTGGAAGAGAGCTGTTACACGCCTGCAAGCACTATACTGCATATGACGTGACAACGCAGCAGCTGATGGCGTAACGGTTGTCTAATATCCTTGGTTGTTGCCACTGCGTTAAAATGACGCGTCATGGTATTTCAGACACGCTGTAGGACGTCTGCAAACACTATAATTCGTATGACGTGATACCGCAGCTGCTGACTTTTTGACGGTCGTCCAAGTGCGCTTGCCTTAGCCTCTGCGTCAAAAAATGCGTCTTACTAGTTTAGACACGCCGTAGAATGTCTGCAAACGCTACAATGCAAGTGACGTGATTTTGCAGCTACCGACAACGTCACAATTGTATAAGTGCGTTTGCCGTCAGTTAAAGCCTCGAATCGGATTATTCTCGACCGTTTGGCTTAGTTTGCTAACTCTTTGTTTTCTGAAAGCGGTTTCGAGCTTTTATCACGCGCGAGTAGCCTGACCAGGCGATGCAAATGTGTGTGCCATTCGTCATTTTAGTAGCACAAAATATGACAATGCTCTGTTAATTACTAGACTTTACTGCTCAATGCCACTTACGACTCCAATCACTAACAAGACACGCCATTGTCACGTTCTGAGTAAAGATTAGCTACCTCAAATGTTCGTCTCCAGAGGATACATTTTTCCAGTATTTTTTTTAACGGCCTACCGCAGAACAGGAGTGGTCATGCTCTGTAGAACTCAATGGGTCATCGCCAATTTGTGATTGGAAAGCCCCTGGTAGTGAGTCACTACCGCTTTTTAAATTAATGAGAACCTCCAGGCGAGCAATAACCACTTCTACTCTGTTAATCACCAGTTAAGCATTCTATCGTGACAAACTAAAGTCAAATGGTTGTGACGCGAGCCTAAATGTTTCGGTTACAAATACATGAGTGCATCAGGTCCAATTCCACAAACAATATCGTCTTAGTTTAGCAGCCTTAGTCGTCAATTTGACTTCTTGTGTTATTAAAAAGCGGCACATATCACATCAGAAACCATACTTTTCAGAGTCGACGCTTAAGAAATCGAATCACTGACCGCCCCTTCAGTGCCAAACTGAGAGTTTCTCGAATAACTGGTGCTTACACTCATTCTAACTTCAATCACCGATTTACTGTCTGGAAGTATATACCCCGTATACCATATCGAGTTAGGCTAGCAGCCCAAGTGTCCTGTGAATATTTCCTCTAGGCATCCCACAATTTTTTTTCGTGTCAGTACTTATCAGAATGCTTCATCACAGATCTTCACCTTGATTCGTTTAAGCTTCGCTTGAATCCCGAGAAGTAAAAGTGCAACGCGTGTGCTCATCGTGATAAAATACGCACAGTGTTACACTGTAGGCACAAGGTGGCCGACTGGCCGATGATTGTGTTCGGTTGTTTCATATGTCTATTTTGAGACTTATCCCCTTACGTTGCGACGCCTAAATAAAGTATTGGTATGTATTAGTTAAATTTATCAGATATAAGGGTTGTCTAGTGAAACTATTCACTTGAGTTGCGAGCCAAATTGAATGCGTAATTCTTTAAGCCAATGATTCTTAGCATTTGGTTGAGCCAAGGAAAACCCGAATAGATTCAGGGTGCCACGCAAAAATGTGCAATGTATCTTAAGAAAAGTCATATGGAGTTACTGAGTAACCAAGTATAAATAGTATAACCGTGTCATCTTTGATTGAGATCGATCAGATAACAAAGGTCTTATAAGCCTTAACATAAGCTTTTGAGGTTTCAACAATATGATTCTTCGATCAAGATACATGATACATCCACAATCTATATATGGCTCCCATGAAGCGCCGCAGGTCATGGGTTGCCTGGAAATAAAAAACGATCGTTGTCATGTATTTTTATCTGTATGAAGCTTTGATAAATTATAAATCTTCCTTATCTGTGAGACAGGTAAATCTTTGGCATGGATACGTAGCTGCGATATATTTATCATATGGATAGTTTTCTATTTTTGCGATGGGTTTTGGGCACAGTTTGAAAGGTAAGGTCAGCTGCGAACCGCCGTCTTCAAGGTGTAATTCCAGGCGAATAGCGGCAGGTATTCAATATCGAGACGAAACAAAACAACCTTATGTTGTCGTCTTCAGTGCGAGTTTCTTGATATCAACACAGTCATTGACAAATCCACTACCAAGCACATTTCTAAACAAAATACTGACGATTAAGTACAGTGGTCAAAATGATGTCATAATGATCTCATACATACACAACGCGGTATGCCACGCCTTCTTCTGCAAGTCGCGCGTGAGATACTGACCCATGTGAGATGGGTCGGAGCAAATTGGTCTCAAGATGTTTGAGTATCACGCACCAAGTGTGTGATGCTATGACTAAAGTTACAATGAACAAAGGCGATATGCAGATAATCAAGACAGAATTTATTCTATTTTTCACGCAGGCGGTAAATTTGCAATTAACAAATGAATACGCCTACCTATACATGCACTATCTGTAGTCTCGAAATCAATATTTTCATTGTACCTCCGCGGTCGTGTCCAAGATATATTGAACTTCACTCCGAACCTCCATATCAGATGCGAGCTCATCTCGTGTTCGATGTTAGCTTACTAAAGCCGTATAAACATCTTGCTATATAAGGCTGTCTGGTTGTGGAATAAACTGTAGGAGACGATGACACATCTTTATTGTTCTTTGCAGCTAAGTCACCTTTGACGAAAAACAAAGATTTGGTGTTTAGCCTCTTAAGGTGCCGCTAGACAATCAAAATGTTCGTGGACATATGAAAGTGCGTCCGACAGACGACCAATATTCACGACGTATGCGATATAAGATTCCTGGAGGAATTTAGCCCGCTTAGTTCAAGCTAATCACTCTGAGGATGGGGGGAATCATGTTGCAGAAACCCAAACCTCACCGATCTTGCTCGATGGTAAGGCAAGAATTTCTCGAATGTAAACAAACTTGTGATTTGGCGCGCTTGCCATGACCACAATCAACAATTGGAAAGATGAAGAGAATACCATATTATAAGAAAATATGCATAGAATATTGAGCTTTCACACTGGCAACACCTTGTTGGCGTCATTTACGCTTAGAACCTCTGCCCTCGCTTCCATCGAATGCAGCAGGGCTGACGTTGCTTTGCGCTATGAGGAAGCGTAACTTAGGTCATCGAACTTTCGTTACTTGGAACAAGTACGAGTTAGCGGATCGCAATCCGCTTACTCCAAGAGAAATTAATGCCTTTACCCAAGGCTGCAGTCACACCATGCCCATGTCGTGTGACACACACCCTTGCTATCAGGGTACGTGTAACCCCGTTCCATCGAATATGCGCAATATTTGTTTTTGCGCCGCAATGTGTTTATACTTGAGAGCGGGACCTGGTCTATTTACGCGATTGGAGTGTTCACTGCTAACTGTATCATCATGAAATGGGGGGGGGCGTAATGTCGTAAGAATTGCTCTTTAAGCTTCGCAAAACCACAATTCGTGGCGTAACCGTCGAGTCAGTGACTGAATATCACAGCTACTGACTAGCCTAAAGCGATAATCATTGGGACAACTTGACTTTAGAGCTAGGTTGCAGAACCGTAAAACTGGAATGGGATAAGCCTCTCTCAATCAATACTCGAATTAAGCCATACAGTCTTTAGAATTATCCCAAAGTCGCAATCACACAAGTACAGCCCTCATAGTGAATACATGGAACCCTTAAGACAATTTTAAATTTTTCTTACACTATTGGTGTGACGGGGCACACGGCACCTAGCACAGAGGAAGCTTGACTTCCAAGAGTATACAAACTGTAAGTGAACGGCAGTTCACAGATCCTTGGTCCGAGGACACGTTAACCAAATTCAGGTAGATTTAAGACTGAATATATTTATAGGTGTTCCTTAATGTTTTCCTATTACATGACCATGTACCCATCACCAAATTTAGGTAGTTTTAAGACTGAATATATTTATAGGTGTTCCTTAATGTTTTCTTATTACATGACTCTCAAGCCATGTACCCATCTAGTAATGTGGTGTACCACACCACAGCTCCCTTGGGAGAGTGACGGGTCACTCTCATGTAACCCCGTTACATCTGCAGTCTCCTTTTTTCGGCTTTGACTCAGAATTTCGCTTCATGAAATTTGTATATGAATTTGATGATCTATTGTTCCTGTTTGCTGGTGACAGCATGCTTGTATATTAATGGGAGCACGCAAAATCATCGACCATTTATCCAATTGCCACTACTTGGTAAGAAAAAGGTTTATGCTGCTCTATTTTAGTTCTTTAGTTTGCATTGTCATAATTCTATTGTAGCGATAGTCTTCTAATCATCCCAGACGTACAAACCTCCCCGATTTTAAAAGCAGGTAATGGTATCCACACGGTGGCATTGGCTGCAACCGCAAGTAAGAGTTAGGTTGGGATTCATGCAAATTTGACGTACATTTCAAAGTAAATGTTTGACCGATGATCCGACACTTATCTCGATTCACGGAAACTGTTGACGTCATCCAGGTCTGCACAGAATCGTTATCGCTGATCTCTTGGTGGCTCTCATAGAAATGTAGGATTTAGGCGCAAGTATGTCTAGATTGTAGGCATCACCGTTGCGTTTACCTGATCTTAACAATGTCGGTTGATCCCTTTTAGTCGTCAATGAGACGACAAAAAGTTATACAGTAAGACTAGAGTCTTTCACTTTTCTTTCGCGTTTGAGATAAAAGAATGACAGGGCATATAGCTTTCAAAAGGCGAGTTTCATGTTTAGACACTCGATCTTTAAATTATGATATGCTCGTGTAAAAGTTAGTCGAAACACCTAACAACATTTGTTTACGGTTGTAGGCTTCAAAAGAGACGATTTTGAATCTTGTTTGAGTTGAATGGTTACGTCCTTTTCCGAGAATTTATCTTTGTCGGCGTTGTATATGGCTATCACAAGATCCTTGAAAGCTCGACACACATTATGACAGGTCTTGGCTGATGCACGCTGGTGCATAAGTCCTAACATCCTAGCCGTTGATTCATGCAATTCCTGGTCCACATAGTTTACATTCGAGGTTGATTCTAAATCCACCTTGTTTCCCACGAACATGATGCAACTAGCAAGCGTGCTGCTCGGATTTGCAGCAGCTTTGAGCTCCTTAAGCCAGTACTCTTGCGCATTGTTGAAGCTTTCGCGCTTAGTCACATCAAAAACAATAAGGGCGCCAGCTGCTCGTCGGTAGTGACTACAAAAGCACGAAACAGCAGCATCAGCCCTACACTTTCTCATTTGTGACAATGCTCAATGCTCAATGAAAAGCTTACGAGGAGGTAATTGCGCGATAACGTTCCTGACCAGCTACGATTAGACACCCGTACATCAGATGAATTCAATAAAGCTGTTCAAAATGTTTGAATCAGTACCAGTATCCCAAATCTGAGCTTTAATGCGCTTGCCATTAGGATGACGAATGATGGTTGTAGCAAACTCAACACCAATGGTGGCGTTGCGATCAGCAGAAAAACTGCGAGATATTCCCTGCTCGTTTACAGTCTCAGCAGCGAGAAAGGTGGCAAGTAGATTAGTCTTGCCGACTCCTGGATCACCAACTAGAACCACTAAATAAAAGTTCTTGTAAGCAAGAAAGAGAATATGATTTCAATAATTGCAGCAAACCTTTGTAAAGCTCGTCGTAATGCTGCTCCATTAGCAAGGCAAGACCAAAATAAGTAAGAGAAAAGTGATATTGTTGGCTCTTTCAACTGAAGTCGTTACGTCTTTCTAGAATCACACTCTTGGTACAATAACACGATGAAAAAAACAAAGTTCAAAAATATTACACTCGATTAAGCTTCGTGCGGCGTTTTCAGATTTTTGGTCTGCTATCTATCGCCGTCTTCTTTCCTATCACTTCATCTTCTTAAGATCCCGCGCCACTTCCTCTCTAAAAGCCTCGCCAAATTCTTTTACTTTTGGTGCGTAAGTTTCAATCGATTTCTTGAGCACATCAGCACCTGTAGATGCCATATGCTTGGCGTCTTCTACGTGGTAATGTGTTTTAAGCGCGAAACGTTGGAAGGCTCGCGAGTTCGAAAGCGCCTTGACGGCCACGTCGTTGATCACGTACGACACGAGGCGTTGAAAGAAAGACATTAGCACTTTTGCTCTTCTTTGGTGATTCTCGAATGGCCTTAATTTGCTATGTCTTTTCATACACGATAATACATTGAAATGTACTATTTTGCTAAATAGTAATCCAACTTAGTTATATCTATTTTTCTCCAATGACAAGAAGCTAAACCGTCGATTCCACCCCCTGCCGAACCGACCACATATTCCTCCGTCCTCATGATGCTGAAGAAGCTGAGCTCGTCAATAGCCCCGCGGTGCATGCAGACCATTAAAGGTACGTCTACTGGAAATCTTATATCTTGAATTATCTAGTTCAATGTTCTTAAGGAGATAATGCGTGACTAAACATGCGTAAAATTAGGTCGTGCGGCCATGAGCACTAAGGCTGTCGTGGACACGTATGAATCGCCTGACAATTATTTTGAGAAGGACCGTATCGATGCTGGGGATCCAAGCAAGCGTGCTTTTACATATTTTATGCTAGGAGGTGCGCGAGTAGCTTATGCGACCGCAGCACGTCTTGCTGTCGTGAAGTTTGTTGGAAGTATGAGTGCTTCCGCCGATGTGTTAGCGCTTGCTACGGCTGAATTTGATCTGAGTAGCATAAGTGAAGGATCGACAGTTACTGTCAAGTGGCGTGGTAAACCAATTTTCATCAAGCATCGGACGGCCAGAGAGATTGAGATTTCGAATCAGGTGGACGTTAGCAACTTACGCGACCCTGAGACAGACGCTGACCGTGTGCAGAAGCCCGAGTGGCTTGTGGTACTTGGTGTGTGTACACACTTAGGCTGCGTTCCCACGTCAGACGCTGGTGAATATGGTGGCTGGTTTTGTCCCTGCCATGGTTCCCATTACGACCTCTCCGGTCGCATTCGCAAGGGCCCTGCCCCGCTTAATTTGGAGATTCCTCCATACCAATTCTTGGACGAAAACAAGATTCTTCTTGGCTAATGGGCTGAGTGTGTTGGTGCGAAAAGCAGCCTGTGGAGACAGTAGAACGCGAAACGAGAGCGCGTTGATTCTGGAAAGAAATTTTAAACACTTTGATATGCATTACTGTCTTTAGATTCAACCTGTCTTGCCTAATATAACTAACACAAGGACAACCGAAGTTGGTAACAGCTCCAATTTTCCGTTTTACCTCTTCGAACCAATTACTCCAAAAGATTAAGCTCATACATAGCGAACATTTCTAAAATCCAGAATATGAGGGTATGCCCATAAAACTGAATGCTTCAGTTGTTTAGGTTTCTCCATCGCAAACCAAACAAAGAATCACGCTGATGGGAATGTCAGAAACAAGAATCACTACAAAAGTAACGATGACTGAGAGGACACTGGTAAATCTAAATACCAAGAAAATCGAAAAGTCAGTGAATCTCTAAATGCAAATTACTTCTAATCGCCGACATCTTAAAATTGTCGAATTGAAGACTTTAAGGAGATTCATTCGCCTAGTCCAGGCGAATGAATCTTGTCAGGCCTGTTTACCACCGCATAACCTAGTGCAGGCCCTATAAATCTTAAGCACACGGACCTTGATAATCGCTAATCTCACAGCGCTATGGCACTTATGTTTGTGCATCGAGTCTTCTCAACCAATCCAAAGCTTGGACATTCTCTTTAACGAACGGCTGCTCTCAAAGACATCCGTAGTTTAAGCCTTCTTGGGGAGGTTCTCAAAATATTAGATGACATAGATAATGATGTCCTGTGATTTGCTAACTTCCAGAACCATTTTACTACGCGCACAATATTTTAATGAACGCGAATGCTTTCACACAAATCCCTTGTTTCCACTTTAAATGTACAGAGCACGGTGTACTTTGAAAATCTGAAATGTCGTAATCATACGGAAAACATTTAGTAACGTTCCAAGGCTATTTTATATTCATTAAGTTTTTCAGGCTGATGACTATATGATCGCGCATAGATGACTAAGACCTGCCGTTTCTATTTTATGGCTTGCCAACGCGAAACCCGTCCACCGGACCCAGCGACACACGTTCGAATCTTAAGTTTTGACTTGATGCTTAGTGTACTACAGTAGAACCTGTCTAAATTAAACCTGTTTAATTTAGAACCCTTTCTAAATTGAGCAAAAGATATGGACCCATAAAGGGCACCATACAGAAGAACTTGTCTAAACTAAACCTGTTTAATCAAAACCCTTTCGAAATTAAACAATGTACCCAAATCCCAACATGTTTAATTTAGACAGGTTTTACTGTAGCCTCAAAGCAATTAACGAAAAAACTGACGGCACATTGCAGTGATGAGAAGAACTACACTTTTCTGGTCAAGGGTGGCGAAGACTTGGGTCTTGAAGTATATGTGAATGAAATACACCAAATTTGTTCACAGTGGGACTTATCCGCAATACATCTATAGCTACTCCGATTTGCTTGATATCGCTTACC